CTGGACCCAAAAATCACTACGTGGCCTTCTCATCTGTTTTTATACTTTGGTATTTACTATGTTGATTTCCCCATGATTCTCTCGGGTTAGGAGAATATCTCTGAAAATTTCCAGTCCTACTTGGCTGAGTGGACACATGCCCATCATGGCCAGCACAGCTGAACAGAACAGCGTGTCCTCCCAGGAGCTGGCCTCGCTGGACAGCTCAGAGACAGGGCTGCTAGGACGCTCAGAGAGGCTCTCTGCTTCTCCCGGCTACGGCCGGCACTGGGGAGACCTTCCAGCGGGTTTCCTGGGGGTACCATACATAATCACGCTGCCTTAAATGTACGTCTGGGGAGGTAGTTTTCTACACTTGATCTTAGCCAAAAGGCTGAGAAGTGATGGGAGGCTAGTTTTCTCACCTGCCTTTTTAGGCATAGATTTGCCTGGGGGTGTGCGTTAGCGGGTTCACAATGAGCTACCTAAGGGCAGGACAGTAGCTTGTATTTTTGTGCCTCCCATGCCAACCAAGCATGATGCCAGGTACAAAATCAGCCATCAGGAGACATGCTTGTGGAGCTTCAAGCAGGCAGGGCTTGCTTTATGAGGTCTGCAAGCCTGCCAAAAAGTCCCTGAAGGGAAATGCTATGAGCGGGTGCCATCCAAATTACACAGCCGCAGGCAGCCATCTGCTGGGAGAGTTGGGCTGAGCAGAGACTTGAGGAGGAAGCGAAACTTGAAGAGGAATCTGCTTCTGCTTCATTTGTCCTAAAGGACAAAGCTCAGCAGCAGCCTCCTCGTGTCCAGGTGGCTGAGGCTGCAGCGGGGCAGCCACAGGGGCCGCCCTGGGGTGCTTCAAGTGGATGAACAGAGTGTCCATGGGGGGGGGGGGGAACCAGGGTTACTTTTCCTGCTGAGAGTGAGCTAGTAAGATACTTATCTTCCTGTCTGTTTCCTCATCTATAAAGCAGGACTAACAGGCTGTCTCACAGGGTTGTTGCAAGAACTAAGTGGGCTCAGTTATGTACACTGCCTAGTGCAGTGTGTGTGTGAGGTAGGGTTTTTATGGGGACAGCTGTTGACTCCCATGTTCCCCACCTTATGTATTGCTGAGTTCTCCACAAGCCATGCAGACAGCTTGGAATTGGAACAATAAGAGATTCAGGGGCCAGATTGCCTGCCCCTGACCTACCTGCTCCACGGTCTCTTTCACAGGCAGAAGGAGGGAGCCCTCCATTCACAGCTCGGGTCCCCAGCTCTGCCTCTGCCTATGACCAGAGAGGACTGGCTCCTGGTCAGGAGTATGAGGTCACTGTCCGTGCCCTTCGAGGAACCAGTTGGGGCCCTCCCGCCTCTAAGACCATCACCACCAGTGAGAGCTGGGCCTGGGGCTGGGACCCTGGGTGGGGGGCTGGGACTGTGCCCAGGGAGGCTGGGTGAGGGACTACGGGGAGCTCCAGGAAGATGGTTCATGGCCTGAGTCCTCCTCTCTCTGACTGGGCTAGTGATCGATGGTCCCCAGGACCTCCGCGTGGTGGCTGTGACACCGACCACACTGGACCTCAGCTGGTTGCGTCCCCTGGCTGAAGTGGACCGATTTGTGGTGTCCTATGTCAGTGCTGGCAACCAGAGGGTGCGGCTAGAAGTCCCCCCTGAAGCCGACCGGGCCCTATTAACTGACCTGATGCCAGGCGTGGAGTACGTGGTGACTGTCACAGCGGAGCGGGGCCGGGCAGTCAGCTACCCGACCTCTGTCAGGGCCAACACAGGTATGGCTGGCCAAGGTTAATTAGGAGCACTGACTTCCAAAGCCAGGAGTGCCTGCCTGGGGCCTAGCTCTGGGGTGCACAGGCCCCTGCTGTGCTGGGCTGGGAGGGCACAGGGCAGACAGGGCCCCAGGGAGTTTGGATTCCTCTGTAAGGCCGTGGAGTGGACTGAAAGGAGCTGCCCGTGGGGAGAAGCAGGAAGCAGGAGTCCTCACCACGCAGGGGGGTGGGGGTGGGGATCCCCGCCCAACCTAGGAGGAGACAAGCGCATGGTCAGTGCTCGGGATGGCCTGGCAGCTCAGGCACAACAGGCCTGCTGACCCCAGGGTCAGGCTGTGAAGCTGGATCTTGCCACCCTCTAACCCTTAGTCTTTTAACAGAAGCCTGGATCTTTTGCTTTCTCTTCCCGCCACAGAGGGACATGCACCCGGCTGTAGCGCCTTCTCCCCGCCCCTTTTCTCTTCCAGCAGATGCAGGGCCAGCGACGATGCTTGGCTTGGTTTTTCTCTCTCTAGGACAGCGACAGTGGTGGGCTTGGCAGGGGAGGGGGCGAGGCTCCCGGAGCCGACAGACATGCTGCTCCGTTTTCTTTTCAGGAGGGGCCGGGCCGGCATGGGACGGGGACGGGGCGCGGGAGGGGCGCTGCGGCTGATCAGCTTCCCTCCCTCTCTCCCCTTGGCAGCGCCGGCCCCCTACCGTTACCCGGAGGTGCGCCCCCCGGCCGCGCAGCCCCAGCCCCGGCCGCGCCCCGCCCCCGCCTCGTGGCCTCCGCGGCCCTCGCCGCCGCCAGAGCCAGAGCGCGAGAAGCCGAGTCCCGGGCCACCGGTGCCTCAGCCTCCTCGGCGGGCGTGGGGCAACCTGACTGCCGAGCTGGGCCGCTTCCGCGGGACGGTGCAGGACCTGGAGCGCCACCTGCGGGCCCACGGCTACCCCCTGCGGGCCAACCAGACCTACGCGTCGGTGGCGCGCCACCTCCACGAGTTCCTGCAGCGGCGGCCAGCGCCCCCGGGCCGCCCGGCCTCCCCACCGCGCCGCGCGCACCCCGCGGCCAGCCCAGCTCCGGGCACCTCAAAGCGGGACTCCAGCCCGGGCAGTCCCGCGCCCCGCCACCCCAAGCCCGAGGTGTTGGGCAGTTCGGCCGACGGTGCACTCCTCGTGTCCCTCGACGGGCTCCGCGGCCAGTTCGAGCGCGTGGTGCTGCGCTGGTGGCCTGAGCCGCCTGCAGAGGGCCCAGGCGGGGAGCTGAGCGTGCCTGGCACCGTGCGCACCGTGCGCTTGCCGGACCTCAGGCCCGGCACAACCTACCACGTGGAGGCCCACGGGGTGCGGGCGGGGCGCACCTCCAAGTCCTACGCCTTCGTCACCACCACAGGTAGCGTGGGCAGGGGCGCCGGAACTTCACCCCGTGCAGCGTTATCTGCCTCACCCCGCTTTTCTTCTCAGGCTCCAGAGGACCCCGCAGCAAGGCGCATCCTCCAATGCCCCCGAACCCCCCACCCTGGGATCCTGGCACAGCCAGAGAAATCCGCGCGTTGGGGCTGTGGTTCTCTCCGCGTTCCTTAGGCCCTTTGGCCGGAATGCTGTCTTAGGCCAGGGAAGGGCACCAGCAGCCCCGAGCCTGCTAAGCCTCAGCCCCGTGGTATATGGGGAGCAAGGCCACCTCAGCTGACTCGCTCTGGTGACCGTGGCGGCAGGTGATGGCCGTGGTTACTGCCTAGAATTCAGCCTTGACCTCCAAGGATACATCGGATCTGTCTGCGGTGGCCGAGCCACAGCTCCTTGGCTCTGCTGGCTCTGGGACTGCGGGTCTCTCACAGGAGCGCATCTGGCCAGGCCTGCTGTTCTTCCCCGTAGGGCCTGGTGTCACCTGACTGGATGCCCCCCACCTGCACCTCTGCTACTCCAGCTCTGCGCCACCCTGCTAACACCACAGTCCCTTTCTTCCAGGCTTGTCACTGCAGCACTAATGGACATGGACCACCACCCCGTGGGGCAGGGCGGGCTGGGCGGGTGTTCTGGAGGCTGCGTGGACTTCGTTTGTCCTGAGCCTACCCTTTGCTCAAGTCCTTCCGCTCAGGATTGTTAGGCGGGTGCTGGGAGGCCAGGGTGGAATCAGGATGAAAGACCAGCACAGAGCCAGGAAGGCTGCAGGCCCTCAGGGCAGGGAGAAGCCCGGCTAGGGGTTCCTTCCCACCTCACTCACTCTGCTCTCACCCTCCCCACCTCTTCTCAGGGAACACACCCTTGGGGGCTACAGACGAACCTCCTCCTGCAGGCTCCTCCACAACTCAAGGAGTGGAGGCCCGTGTGGTACAGCGGCCCCAGGAGCTGGCAGACCTGAAGGTGCTGGGCCGAGATGAGACAGGGCGCCTGCACGTGGCCTGGACTGTCAAGCCTGACACCTTTGATCACTTGAGGCTGCACCTGCAGGTGCCGGAGGGGGCTGGGGCGCACGAAGAGCTGCTGCCGGGAGATGCCCACCAGGCTCTGGTGCCCCCACCCCCTACCGGGGCCCCCTACACACTGTTGCTTCACGGGATCCTTCCAGGGGGCAAGGCTTCTGTTCCCATCACCTACCACGGCACCATTGGTACATCCTGCACTTTGGTCTGGGGAAGGGGAAGGCCAGGGCTGTCAGGACAGCAGAGAGGGGGAAAGCTGGGGAGTTGGCCCTCACAGCCCCTGCTGCCTTCTCCGTAGGACCAGCAGTGAATGGCCCTCACCCTAACCCTAAATCAGCTGACCACGAGAGGGAGGTCAGGGAGGGAGCAGCTCTGGTGGCTGAGGTGTCTCCAGGCTGCTCTGAAACAGCAGTGGGGAGGCTCAACCCCCTCAGACAGAACCATGTGGGCCTGAAAGTGTGCCCTCATCCTGATGTGCAGAGGAGTCAGGACCTTGTGAAAGGCAGGGCCACCTTAGGGTCCCCTTGTGAGGGAGGGATGGTCACAGGCCTGAGGGGCAGGGAAAGGGGAGGCCTCCAGGGAGAGGCTGTCAGGATGGATGGAGTAGGTGGAGGAGAGAAGTGGGAATAGGCACCGGGAACAGTTGAGGTCACCATGATTTGCTTTCCCCAGCTCCAGACAAGGAGTCAAAGAAGGCCCCCGGCACACCACGCCTGGAGGAGCTGACGGTGACCACCAGCGTGAGCCCTGACTCCCTGCTCCTGCACTGGACAGTCCCGGAGGGCGACTTTGATTCCTTTGTTATCCAGTACAAGGACAGGGGCGGGCCCCAGGTGCTGCCTGTGGAGGGGCCGCAGCGTTCAGCCCTCATCACCTCCCTGGAGCCAGGCCGCAAGTACAAATTCATCCTGTACGGGCTTGTTGGCAAGAAGAGGCACGGCCCCTTGGTGGCTGAAGCCAAGACCTGTGAGTGAGCAGGCATGGCACTGGGCGGTGCAGGCAGATGGTGGCCCTGGGAGAAGCTGGCTTGCTCACTGTCACCCGGCTCTGGCTCTGTGCAGGGCTGAAGGGCCTGGATGCCACTGCAGGGCCCCAGGGAGAGTGGTCACACAGATAACCGCCTCATAGGCAGCACACTGGGGAAAGGCTAGTCGGAGAAGTGAAGGGAGACCTGAATGGGCAAGATGGGGCTTGGCTGGGTGTGGAGCTGAGGGAGAGCCAGGAGGCCTGGGCCAGTGGGCTCTGCTTTGTAGGTCAGACAGGTCTGTCCCCACGGCAGAGAGTGGCTAGGACAGTGTGGACATGGGACATGGGACTCTAGACAGACACCTTCTGGGTGTTTCCTGAGTTGGGGTGTGTGCTTCAGGGGGAGGAGGCGTGAGGTACAGAGAGGGGAGGGCACAAGGTGAACAGTGGTGGTGGTGGGGCCCAGCCTGAGGTTACACTGCCTCCCTGTGGGGCCAGGGAGCACTGTAAAGTAACCTGTGCTGGTGCAGGGGAGAGTGGGGAGGGGAGGGGAACCCTGGAACCAGGGCGGCACCACTCAGAGCAGGACATGGAGAGGGGCTCTGGGCAGCCCAAGAGGTGTCCCAGCGGGGCGGGTGGACCCAGGCGAGGAGTCAGGACCCAGGGCGCGGTCGGCTTGGCGGAGGCGGATCCGGGAAGAGTGATTCAGGAGTCTTGGGGCCACCACGGGCCTTACGGTGGGGGGTGGCTTGCGGGGGAGGGAGGCAGAGGTGAGTACGTGGCTGGCCACAGCCAGCGGAGACCCTTCTCCTGGCCCCTCCATTGGAAAGGGAGCAGAGGGGAGGCAGTGCTGGAGGGGGATCGCGCAGGGTTGGCTGGGGAGTGTGGTGGTGCTGCGGGGCAGCCAGCTGGGCTGTGGAGTGCTCTGCTCTTGGAGGAGACAGCAGCTGGAGGCCGGGCCTGGAAGCAGGGAGGTCGGGAAGCTTTCCCTGGCCTCGCAGTGTGGGAAGGCCTGGCTGGGCTCCCCTCTGCCGGCTCCTCCCCTGGAGTGGGGACCTAGCCAGGGCCGCACCTCCACTTTTGCACTGTTCAGAATCCGTTCTTGCCGTTCTTTCCTGCACACCAGCCGGGTCTGCGTTCTGCTGTGTGGCCTTGGCCTTGCTGCCCTGCAGTGAGCACCCTGTACAGCCTCGCACCGCGTCCCCACGTTGGGGGGCTTCATGCTTCTCCTGACCTCCTTTCTTACTCAACCTCTTCTAGTACGTTGGAACGAACCCAGCCTGGACAGCCCACCCCGCCTGGGAAAACTATGGGTAACAGACCCGACTCCAGACTCCTTGCACCTCACCTGGACTGTCCCCCAGGGCCAGTTTGACTCCTTCCTGGTGCAGTACAGGGACAGGGATGGCCAGCCTCAGGTGGTGCCCGTGGAAGGGCCCGACCGCTCCGTCACTGTCTCCCTGCTGGACCCTGGCCACCAGTACAGATTCTCTCTATTCGGGGTTGCCAACAAGAAGCGATACGGGCCCCTCATAGCCAACGGCACCACTGGTGAGTGACTGCCCTGAAGTCCCAGTGTGACCCCTTCTCCCCCATGCCAGCCTCTTTATCCCTGTCAACTGCACCCTGAGGCACACGTGTGTCCCACCCTGGCAGTGCCCTATGTCCCAAGGGCGCAGCAGAGGGTCCCCCTCTGCCAGCCTCCATGCAGGCAGTGCCTGGCTGACCCCCCACCCCCATTCCAGCCCCAGAGAGGAAGGAGGAGCAACCTCATCCAGAGCCCCCTGAGCAGCCCGTCCTGGGGGAGCTGACAGTGACTGGCGTGACCCCAGACTCCCTGCGCCTGTCCTGGACTGTGGCCCAGGGCCCCTTTGACTCCTTCGTGGTACAGTACAAGGACGCACGGGGGCAGCCCCAGACAGTGCCTGTTGGGGGTGATGAGAATGAGCTCACGGTTCCTGGCCTGGAGTCCAACCGGAAGTATAAGATGAACCTCTACGGACTTCGTGGCAGGCAGCGTGTGGGCCCGGCCTCTGTAGTGGCCAAGACGGGTGAGTCAGCTTTGTGGCCGCCCTCCACCTTCCCTGCTTGTGGGCTCTGGGCACTTGGCGGTGTACCACCTTCTCGGCTCCTCTCTGCCGAAGCCTCCAGCCCTGCCTGCCCCGTGGCACTCCCGTCCTCCCCACCTGGGGAGCCCCCTCCCAGCTGCCTGCTCCCAGCTGCCGGCTCTGCCTTTGCGGGGCAGATTTGGTGGCCCTCCCTGGAGTCCTTGCCTGCGGCTAGTGTACCCTGAGTTTCTCCCACGCTCAGACCCCAGTCAGCTTGACCCTCTGTCACCTGCAGCCTCGCCCCGGCTGCCTTGTTGCTGTGCTCAGAGGTGGCAGACCCTGGGGACACGGCTACTGCCTTTCTCCAGTTTCTCAGACCCACACCTGAGCCCCGCCCCACCCCACCAGGCGCTGTGTCTGTGGCCCAAGAAGCCATGCCAAGAGCTAGTGTGGACAGCCCTTGGGGGCCGGGGCTCTGTAGCCCCACTGGCCATGTGGCCTGCTGCCCTGAGACCCTGCTTCCTGCCCATCAAGTTGGGGGATAGCGGCAGCCTCTGGTAGAGCTGTTAGAACTAAGTGCGCGTGTGTCCAGCCGGGCACAAGGGCCTGGCCCACCACACTGCTGTCCATTCTCCCACTATCGGCCTCTCAGTGACCTCCCGCCATCCCACTCTCAGCCTCCTAGACTAAGGATGGGCCAGGGCGCCCACCCCACGGGTCAGTGGTGGGAGCTGAGGGCGCCATAGTTCCGAGCCAGCCAGGACGGAGCAGGCCTTCGTGTCAGCCCCTCTGCCCTCCTGCTGGAGCCCTGCCACAGCCTGCATTCTTCAGGGATCTTGGAGGGCCCAGCTGCCCGGCAGCCTCAGCGGCAGTGCATTCCACAGGCCCGGCCTGATTAAGGTGGAGCACCCGCACCCTGGGTGGGACACGGTGGATGGAGGCCTCTGGCCCCTCACTTCTCTGAGGTCACCGCTGCCAGTGGCACTGAAGCAGAATCTCCGGGGTGTCCTGTCTTCCCGAGTCAGCTCCTGTTTCACCCACCCGATGGGGCTGCTTGGACAGGAGCTGTGCGGGCTATCCCCACCTCTCTACCGGAGTGACCCAGTGGCAGACACCAGAAGCAGCACAAGCCCCCAGCACTCAGGCTCCAGTGTATATCTGTTCATGGGTCTCGTCATTCCCAAGTGTGACACCACTGAGCAAGGTACCCCTAACATCTACATGCCCTGAACTCAGCCCCACAGGAGACTCCGGACCCCACAGAACCCAGCACAGAGGCCCTGCAACCTGCTGAGGAGCCACGACTCGGGGAGCTGACGGTGAGAGGCGCCAGCCCGGACTCCCTGAGTCTCTCCTGGACGGTCCCCGAGGGACACTTCGACCACTTCCTGCTCCAGTACAGGAACGGGGACGGGCAGCCCAAGGTGCTGCGGGTACCCGGCCACGAGGACCAGGTCACCATCTCGGGGCTGGAGCCTGACCACAAGTACAAGGTGCACCTGTATGGCTTCCACAGCGGCCAGCGCGAGGGACCCGTGTCTGTCACCGGGATGACAGGTGAGGGGACTTGGGAATCCCGGGGGATCCAGGGGGAGGCTTAGCAACTCCTTTGGATATGCCAAGTGGGACGCACTGAGGCTGTGTGGGGCTGAGGAGTGGCCCTGCGTCCTCCTCGGATGACACCTGTCCCCAGGCTTGAGGCCTTGGCTGTGCTGGTGACCATCTGGCACCCTGCTGTCCCATGTGCTCAGGCCAGGTTGTGAGCTGTGAGCTAAACAGGATGCCCAGCCCCAGGTGGCTGCTCTGCCCTGAGCCCAGGTCCCCAGCACTGGCCATGCTTCTCCCTCCTTGTCCCTGAGCACCGAGGACATCCTCTGGGGGCTGCCTTACCCTGTGTGTCCCCTTCTTAGCTGCAGAGGAGAGCCCCAGACCCCTGGAACCCAGCACAGAGGCCCCAGAGGTCTCCAAAGAGCCGCTCCTGGGGGAGCTGACAGTGACAGACACGTCCCCGGAATCTCTGACCTTGTCCTGGACCGTGGCCCAAGGCCACTTTGACACATTCAGCATCCAGTACAAGGATGAGGACGGGCGGCCGCAGGTGCTGCGTGTGGGGGGCGAAGAGCGGCAGGCCACCGTGCGGGACCTGGCTCCGGGCCACAAGTACAAGATGAACCTGTACGGGCTCGGCCGGGACGGGCGCGTGGGCCCGGTGTCCGCTGTGGCCACGACCGGTGAGTGGGGTCCGGTGGGGAGGGAGGGAGGAAGGAAGAGAGGGAGGAAGGGAAGACCAGCTCTAGAAGCAGAGCTCTGAGGCCCAGGACCAAGGAAAAGCCACGGACCCCAGTCCAGGGAGGGTGGGGACACAGTGGCCTCGTGGCCTGCTCAAAAGCTGGAGCTTGGGCAGGGGCGTCAAGGTCATGGTACAGTCAGGGTTTGGAAAGCCGGAGGACAGTCAGAGCGAGGGTCAGGTGCAGGGATGGCGCTGCCAAGGAGAGAGAGCGAGGCCGGCCTTGTGGCTGGCAACGCTCTGCTCTTCTGTGCTTAATTCTTGCAAAGGCTCCTTTGTGGGGCACTGAGGGCTGCAGACCTCACCTGTCCCCCTGTGTCTGTCCAGCTCCAGAGGAGGAAGCTATGACCACTCAAGCGGTGCCTACCACGACCCCCGAGCCACCCCGAAAGCCACACCTAGGGGAGCTGATGGTGACAGGCGCCAGCCCGGACTCCCTGAGCCTCTCCTGGACGGTCCCCGAGGGACACTTTGACCACTTCCTGATCCAGTACAGGAACGGGGACGGGCAGCCCAAGGTGCTGTGGGTACCCGGCCACGAGGACCAGGTCACCGTCTCGGGGCTGGAGCCCGACCACAAGTACAAGGTGCACCTGTATGGCTTCCACAGCGGCCAGCGCGAGGGACCCGTGTCTGTCACCGGGGTGACAGGTGAGAGCATGGAGGGAGGCCCAGGGGACCCCATGGAAAGCTCAGTCCCTTGTCCTCTGGTGATGGCGAGCAGGACGCAGTGAGGCTGCGTGGGGCTGAGGAGTGGCCCTGCGTCCTTCTGGGATGACCTCCGTCCCCAGCGGGGAGCAGTTGAGGCCTTGGCTGTGTTGGTGACTGTCTGGCGCCCTGCTGTCCCAGGTGCTGAGGCCATGTGTCAGCTGTGAGCCTAGCAGGCTGCCCAGCCCCAGGTGGCTGCTCTGCCCTGAGCCCAAGTCCCCAGCGATGGCCATGCTTCTCGCTCCTTGTCCCTGAGTCCCGAGGACATCCCGAGAGCTGCCTCATCTTGTGTACCCTCTTTCCAGCTCCAGAGGAGGAGAGCCCCAGACCCCTAGAACCCAGCACAGAGGCCCCAGAGCCCCCCAAGGAGCCTCTCCTGGGGGAGCTGACAGTGACAGACACGTCCCCGGACTCCCTGAGCCTGTCCTGGACAGTCGACCAAGGCCACTTCGATGCATTCAGCATCCAGTACAAGGATGAGGCCGGGCGGCCGCAGGTGCTGCGTGTGGGGGGCGAAGAGCGGCAGGCCACCGTGCGGGAGCTGGCTCCGGGGCACAAGTACAAGATGAACCTGTATGGGCTCGGCCGGGACGGGCGCGTGGGCCCGGTGTCCGCTGTGGCTGTGACCGGTGAGTGGGGCCAGGTATCCTGTTCCGTTCCTCCCCATGCTGACTCGCACCTGCTTGTGGCCATCACCCTCTTCTGTTTTAAGGGAACCAGGGGGCCTCACTTGCTGGGCAGTCCTGGTAGGAGCAGGTCACCTGTGCTGGGGTGACGGCCAGCTTCTGGGAGCCTGCGCCAGAGCTGAGCTTTCCACAGCATGAACCCCACTGCACAGAGATGTTGTGCGGCTTTCGTGAGGTAACAGATTCACAGCATGCGGAGTGAGCCTGGGGCAGGGGAGACACGCTGCCCAGGCGCCCCGCTGCGCGCCCCACTCGCTTGTTCAGTTCTCCTTGCTCTGAGGCCTCTTTGTTTCCTTCGGTTCCACTCCTCAGTGGGTCCCACTGGACATCACACCTTGGCCTGTTGTCAGTGCAGCTCAAAGCTACCTTGTTTTTTTGTTTTGTTTTGCAGAACCAGGGATTGAACTCAGGCCCTTGTGCTTGCCAGGCAAGCGCTTATTCTACTGAGCCATCTCCCCGGCCCCTTTTTTAAAAATTTATTTTTATTTTTATTTCTTTTTTTGCGGAACCAGGGATTGAACTCAGGTCCTTGCGCTTGCCAGGGAAACGCTTATTCCACTGAGCCATCTCCCCGGCCTCAAAGCTACTTTAACGTTCACCCAGTGAGTGACTTCCAGCAACAAACATCCTTTTTGCCCTCTCAGGCTACTTTGGGGCCCCCTCAGCCACCACAAGGGACTCAGCCTGGGTGCCTTCTCTCAGGTGTGTGGGGGCAGCCGTGCTGACAGGAGGAGCTTGGTCACAGGACATTTCCTTGTTCCTTCAGTCACTGAAGTGAAGACACTTTTTTTTTGCAAACATCTGCTTTAAGGGAAAAGTTTAAAAACATAAGGGGAAAGTAACAGGTTTCTAGAACATGATTTCTGTACCTCCACAAAGTTCAACTTCACAGTGAGTTGGTTGGCTTTGTTTCCAGAACCTTCTACCCTTGGTTGTTTTTCTGTGCCTCAGTTGGCACTGAGAAGAGGGAGACAAGAGAGCCACCCTGGGGCACAATCTCGGTGCTGGAGGTTGTAGGGTGGAGGGTCATCTAGGCCGCGAACGCACTGCCTAGGTCTCTCCTGGGATGGATCTGTCCCAGGCAGCCACAGTGGGCTTTGTTCCTGTCCCTGGTTCAGAGGGAGGATGGCTTCTACCAGGTACACATTCATTTTCAGAAAATGAAAATTCATAGTTTTGGAGTTTCACACACCGAGTTCTCCAGGATTCCCCCGTTCTTAGCTAGGATCTTGGAAAACTCCCAGCCTCTCCTGGACCCCTGACTCCCTCATCTTCAGGACAGGAGCAAATGCGAGAGGTCGGGGTATAGCATGTCTGGCGTGCTCAGGCCTCTTGACCTTTGCTGAGCCCCTCCTGGAGAGACCACTCTGTACCCTGCTCTCGGGCCAGGTATTTGGAAACATGTATCTGACATGTCCTGGGTAACAGAAACAGCCCTTTAGGAAAGGAAAGGACTCGATGTTCACTCCCAGGGTGGCTCCCAGCACGTGCTGTGTCATTGTCAGGAGGAGGGACGCATGCTGACCAGGAGCCACGCTTCTAAACTGGAAAAGGATGCTCCCAGCACAGTGTGGGGACTGTCAGGCCCCTGAGCAGTTACAGTCTCCCCTTTTCTGGTGAGGCCAGTCCCTCAGCACTCAGGCTTGGTGATGAAAGCATTTCTGTCCCTTGTGGAAGGAAGTACGTGTGGGGACAGATACGGTGAGAAAGGGAAGGGGAGGAAGTGCCAGGCCGAGGACCTGCTCAGTTTTTTTGGGGGGGCAGGGGGACTGGGGATTGAACTCAGGCCCCTGCGCTTGCCAGGCAAGCCATTATTCAACTGACCATCTCCCCAGCCCCCTTGAGGACCTGTTCAATCCCTCACGGCCCCTCTGGTGACCCTTGAGCCCTGCAGCTCACTCTGTCCCTTCCCTTCCCACCCAGACTCACTTTGTCTGCAGAGGCCTGGTCGTTGGCCAGTTTTAAGCGGGTACCACCTGTCTGGAATTTGTCCTTGCCACGGAAGCCAGAGGAACAAAGTCTTGGGAGCCCCACCCACTGGCCACCCCCTCTGCCATTTTGCCTCCTGTGACTTCCGGTTCCACTGCCAATGAATGAAGCGTCTCCCTCCCAGACCCTGTTCTCCCTGAGGTGGGGGGCCTGGCCCCTCATGTACTTCACAAGCACTTGCTGAGGACTCATCGTGTACTGGGACTGGCAGAGCAGGGAATGAGGCCGTGCCCTCACTGGGAGTTCTTGTGCCAGGGAAGGGAGGCAGCATCGGGGTACATGGGGGCAGGGGGCTGTGGAGAACAGCAGAGCCTGAGGGCGAGCTGGCGAGGGCCTGGACAGAGGGCAGCGCCTGGGGAGCAGGAGGATGCGGGGCAGGGCCCACCCCAGGCTCAGGGAAGAGCCAGCGCAGGGGTCGGCGGGAAGGCAGCGCCCAAGGGTGAGCATGGTTTGGAGGAGGAGGGCGTGGAGGGACAATGTACGGGTTCACCTGTGGGGCCTCAGAGACCACGCTCTTTCTCTGAGTGAGCAGGGAGCCCCCACAGAAGCAGACCAAAGAGGTGAAGGAAGCAGGCAGGAAGGAGACAACCCAGGTAACCCAGGAGGAGCTCAGAGATTGGAGGTTGGAGGAGAGGCCAGATGGTGAAGGAAGCGTAGGGCTTAACTGTGTGGGCTTTAAGCAGACATGGGGCGAATTCCAAGGGTTTTGAGGGCCTGGGAGATGGCTCAGTGGAATAAGTACTTCCCTGGCAAGCGCAAGGGCCTAGATGACCCTCCACCCTGCAACCTCCAGGGGGCGCCCTTCTCCCTTGCTTGCGCCTGGCTCCTTCCTGCCCCTCACCTCTTTTTTATGGTACTAGGGCTCCTAGCCCAGTGGGACGAGGCTCACCTTACCTTTTTTTATGGTACTAGGGATCACACTCAGGACCTTCCACTTGTCAGGCAGGTGCCTATGCTGCTGAGCTTCCTCTCTATGCCCCCTCACCTCTTCCATTTGAGCAACTGAAGAAACCACATTCCTTTTTTTTTTTTTTTTAAAGGATTTTATGTATTTAGCACAGGGTCTTGCTACACATATTGGACTCTTAGTGATCCTCCCATTTTCAACCTCCCAAATTCTGGGATTACAGGTGCACCTCCATGCCCAGTCTCCATTGTTGTTTTTAGCGAGCACACCGAAGATTGGACCCCAGTCCCTAAGTTTGCCTAAGCAGGCGCTTTAATCCACTGAGCTATCTGGTCAGTCCCCCATTCTTTTTTTTTTTTTTTTTTTTTTTTTTTTTTTTTTTTTGTATTTAGGACAGGGTGTATAGGGTGTTCAGGCTCTCACTACTAGATCGGAGTCGTAGTGATCCGCTTGTTTGCAGCCTCCCAAGAGCTGGGGGGCAGGGCCAGCATGGCAGGCCTGGGGATCGAGCCCCCAGCCCCTGCAACTGCTTGCAGGCTCCTTAATCTGCTGAGCTATTTGGCCAGCCCTCCTCCATTCCCTTTTAGAGCAGTGCTTTAAGATCTAGAAAAGCATGCAGCATTACCAAGGACGCTGGTTGCACTGTTCCAGAGCTCTCCGTATCCACAGCCACCAGCTGTGGATCAAAAATATTTTTTTGAAAAATATGGGTCTGTGCTGAGCAGGTCCAGGTTGTATTTCTTATTATCATCATGGTGTTGTTCCTGCTGCGTCCCATTGTGTTAGGTACGAGAGGGATGGTTCGGGGTGTGTGGGTCACCGGCAGATCCTGCACATTTTGCAGAAGGGGCTTGAGTACGCTTGGCTTTTAAAGTGCAAGCGGGTTCTGACATCACTGCAGCAGACAGCGAGCCCAGTGGACAATTTTAAGAATATTTCTTAGAAACTCCAATTTAAGACTTGGTAACAGCCTCGGTAGCATAGTTAAGAAGCTGCCACGTTTAGAAGTAGGGCTAGGTGTAAGTGACACTACCGAGTTTCTAGAACATCTCTAAAGTGGAGTGAAGCGTCTGTGCTTCTGAATGGGGGCAGCCACATTCTGTCACTTGTTGAGGGTCGGTAAGGATAGAGACGCACCCGTTCGCCATCTCGGCGAAGCCCAGGGTCCTCTCTTGAGAGACCTCAGCCCTGGTGTTTGTGCTCTGGATCTCAGATCTGCTCCCAGCAGCCCCGGTCACTGAGCCCCCTCCGGACCCACGCCTGGAGGACCTGACGGTGACAGACGTGACCCCTGACTCTGTGGGCCTCACGTGGAAAGTACCTGAGGGTGAATTCGACTCCTTCGTGGTCCAGTACAAAGACAGGGACGGGCAGCCCCAGGTGGTGCCAGTGACTGCAGACCAGCGGGAAGTCACCGTCCCTGGCCTGGAGTCCTCCCGCAAGTACAAGTTTGTGCTGTTCGGGATCCAGGATGGGAAACGTCGCAGCCCAGTCTCCGTGGAGGCAAAAACAGGTGAGCCGAGGCCCGGGCTTCTCCGCCTTGTTCGTGGCCACAAATCCGCTTGGCATGGAAGCCTCGCTGCCAGCAGGTGTGGCGCTGTGGCCTTGTTATCCCAGAGCGCTGGGAGGCCGAGGAGGGAGGCCTGTACATTTGAGTCCGGCCCGGCAATTTAGCAGCTGAGACCCCCTTCCAAAATAGAAAATGTAAAAAGCTGGGGCCATAGTTCAGGGCAAAGATCCCATCTGGGGAAAGGCCAGCACCAGTACAAGAAAAAGAGAAGGCTACGCTGCCTGCCATATTTCAGAGACCAGGACGAGACGATTTCTTGCTGACTTCCCATCCCCTCATCATTCTGCTGTTTAGCAAGGAGGCCGGTGGTTGGGCACTGGAGCTCTGGAAGAGGGGCTCGGGGGCTGCCGGAAGAGGGGCACGGGGGCTGCTGGAACGGGGCTGCCGGAAGAGGGGCACGGGGGCTGC